TTGCAGTCGTGTGCATAATCGTTCTCTTATTAAGCTACCAGAAAATATTAAGACGTACTTGTTGTGCGATTAACTCCTTGACTTTATCCCAAAACCGTGATCAACCAAGCCGGCTACTACTAGCCCACCGGCAGCCGGCCAGCAGCCTGGAGCACAGCCTGTCCCTTGAATTCCCGAGCCGTGGACTCGAACCCACCATAGTTCGCTCTCTTCCTATTTCTCAGTTCAAGAAGGAATCACAAGAAGAAGCCAACAGTGAGTGTGGAGTTTGCTTGGGTGAATTTGAAGAAGGAGAATGGCTAAGACATCTACCAAATTGCCACCATGTGTTTCATGTTGAGTGCATTGACAGATGGTTTCAGTCTCATTCGAGCTGTCCTCTTTGCAGGTCAAGTGGTCATGCGTTTTTTAATGGCGGTGGTGATGTGGGTTGTGTGTATAGTAGTTTGTTAGAGACGTTGAGGAGGGAGGATTTTCGCCATGAAAGAGCTCGGAGTTTTCAGAGTATGCGAGCTGAGGTTTTGCAGAGCTCGGTGCTTAGGTGTGGAGCAGCAGCTGCAGGTGCCAGTTGATTCAATCATGACATCTCTACATAGTTAGGTGCCAGCATGTATATACATTCTATTGTAAATATCTTTTATCTTTCCCAAAACAGACCGAATATAGAAGTGATGAATGCTGTTAATGGAGAAATTAGTGGCAGAGAATAAGAAAATATGACTTAATTAGTGAAGAAGTTAAAAGTAAGAAGTAAAAAAACATGTCTTAACGGACTGTCTTATGTTTATATAAGACAGTCCGTTTACATCAAATGAATTCATTTCTTTATAACTTCACTTCTCATTGTGCGGCTTATTTTTCATTGAGTGCATTTTCTCTTTCTTTTCTACAATATATATATATATATATATATATTTGTTATAACTCTTTTGCTCTGTTTCTCAACATTTTTGCCTTCAGAATCTCCAAAATGAAGATGGAATAAAATGGGTATAGAATTTAAAATGGTAAGTTTAGGCTTTTTGGGCTTTCAGAAAATGTTTAAGGCCGTCCATGAAACAGCCTAAAAATCGCCCAATTAATGAAATTTTAAGGTCGTATATATTGCTTAAGCCCGGCAAAACTCCAAGGTCGCAATCTTTTACAGAAGAAATAGGGACTTGAAGCATTAATCTCTTCTGAAAAGCTATATGCGCTATGTTAGGTGCTTCGGCATTCATGGCATATTCTACGAGGATCATGGGTTTACTCGACGAGTCCACTCACCGAGTTACTCCCCACTGAGTACTTCAATAACTCACTGGATTGATTCTCGTTTTCCACTATTACAGACGTGAAAGAGACAAAACATGGACGTTAAGACACAAACCATTTGGGATGCTGCTAGAACAATCTCTCTTTCATCAAATAGGAGCAATGGGTTCTCTCCTTTGTTCTTCTTCTGCCATAATTGTCATAAACGAATTGTTAAACACAAGAACCCAGTTTATCCTCTGTTATCTTGTTTAAAGCAGAGCAGTAACGGCGTCAACCAAGTCGTTGGTGGCAAAGTTGTTGGGAGGAAAACTTCATGTTTGAATAGTGGCGAGGAACCACCGGCAGCACTGTACGATCACTGGATTCGTGAGTATTGCAGAGCAGGGAACATTGACAAGGCCATGGCTCTTGTTGCTCAAATGGAGGCTCTGGGTTCTCGACCAGATTCTGGTTCTTACGCTTGCTTGATCGAGAGCTTAGCCGGCGTGGGCAGGATGCTGGAGGCCGATGCTTTGTTTTTGGAAATGGCGTTTGTTGGGTTTGATAATCCGTGGCTGAGATTAAAACTCTACAATGTTTTGCTCAGAGGGTGTTTGAAGAAAGGCCTCTTTAACCTATCTGTTAAAATCTTGGCCTCCATGGACGAACTGGATGTCGGTAAAAACCGAGAAACATACGAGATTCTTCTGGATTACCATGTCAGTGCAGGTCGGTTGCAGGATAGTTGGTTGATTGTTAATGAAATGCAGCAAAAAGGGTTTAAATTGAACTCCTTTGTGTACAGTAAAATCATTGGTATTTACAGGGACAATGGCATGTGGAAGAAAGCAATTGGTGTTATGGAGGAGATTAGAGAGACGGGTATCCCATTAGATAATCAGATATACAACAGTTTGATTGATACTTTTGGAAAATATGGAGAGTTAGATGAAGCCTTACAGGTGTTTGATAAAATGCAGCAGGAAAGTGGTATAAGCCCGGATATTACCACGTGGAACTCGTTGATCCGGTGGCATTGTAAGGCTGGTAAGGTAGAAAGGGCTTTAGAGCTATTTTCGAGGATGCACGAACAAGGGTTGTATCCTGATCCCAAGATCTTTATTAATCTTATAACTCGGTTGGGCGAGCAAGGGAAATGGGAGATGATGAAGAAGAATTTTGAAGTTATGAAATGTAGAGGTTATAGAGATGTTGGGGTGATATATGCCATTTTGGTTGATATTTACGGGCAGTATGGGCGATTCCAGGATGCTGAAAACTGCATAGCTGCTCTCAAATCGGAAGGTCTTATGCTGACAGCGAACATATTTTGTGTTTTAGCCAATGCTTATGCTCAGCAGGTGCAGGGTGTTTAATGACTCTTAGCTTCTTGGTTTTCTATTATTCTCGTTTACAAAAGAAATAAAGAAAGAAAACTTTAATTAGTTAAGGAAGGAATTTACACCTTTTAGATCCTAGTCAGAAGCATACTATGATAGATATAATGGCCTAATGGATATATAGATATGACCATGAGATCCCAATGCCTATGGGATCTTGTATTTTGCTGCAGGGACAATGCGAACAGACAATCAAGGTGCTTCAGCTTATGGAAGCTGAAGGGATTGAGCCAAATCTTATAATGCTGAATGTGTTGATCAATGCATTTGGTAATGCTGGGAGGCATATGGAGGCGCTATCTATTTATCATCATATAAAAGAATCTGTAAGCCCCCAACCGCAAAATATACATATTTAGAATTCGATAATACTGCTGGACTATTGAAGTCCTTCATCCTATTCATTATATTGTTGATTTATAGCAGTACTGTAGTTTCTAATGAGAAAATTCATACTTCTTCTAAAGGGTTTTAGTCCTGATGTGGTTACATATAGTACGCTAATGAAGGCATTCATTCGAGCCAAGAGTTTCGAGAAGGTACTCAATAACTCTTTGTTGCTTTTTAAAGTCATATATTGCAAGATCTTGTAAAAGATATTGTCCATGTTAATTACAAGATTTTTCCCTAGATATCTTAGAACCGAGATTATTGCTACTCTAAAAGTTTTGGGGAAGGAAACACATTGAATTTTAAGAATTCTTTCATAGTGTATTTGGGTTCATCCTTTGTAAAGCAGTCATTTTGATCCAACCACTTAAACTCTCTGTCTTGAATTTTCTGTTTTCATTGGATTGTTTAATCTATGTTTTTATAGCAATTATACTGGATATTTCAGTTCTCTGTCCTTATAGCTGCTAAATTGTGTTTCTCTAGTTACTAAATTTCTTTTTGGGGAAAAAATATTTGCTTGTTTACTTCTGTTACTGGTTCTGATACATCAATGACCCTGTTGCTATTAATTTCTTAGGATAATACATTCTAACTATGTGCTCGGCAGGTCCCTGAAATATACACGGAAATGGAATCATCAGGTTGCACTCCAGACAGAAAAGCTAGACAGTTGTTAAAATCAGCTGTGATGGTACTTAAGCAGAGAAACTACAAGTATTAGATTGGGGAAAGATATGTTTCCCATTCGAGATATGTTTCCCTTTCACGGCATTCTTGCCTTCGATGCATTGCTTTAGCTATAAGTTCATAGCCCTAGCAGGATGGGAGGCTGATATTTTCAGAAACAGATTGATATTGCTGTGAAGTCCAGTTTCTTCCCTGTTTGGGTTTCAGAGATCTTCTCCTTTTGATTAGATTCTTATCCTATTCACAGGATGGGTGACTTGTGTTTGCCAAACTCTACTCTAACCAGTGACTGATTAGATTTGGAGAGGAACCATTTACATTCAGGAAATTATCATTCAGAAATTAAACAGATGCAAGCTGATGGAATCAGTGGTTTAGACAATCAAACTTGAGATTAGTTTGATTGATTGTACAGCTGAAATTTCAGGGGAGAGTTTTCTAATTTTGTAATTTAGGACACAGGTCTATACATGTATGTTCTATATTTTCTAGTCAATCCTATTAAAAGATTATTGGCTTAAATTTTAATCGTATAAGATAGAAGACATAAGAATAAAATATAAGCCGGATAAAATATTTGAACTAAAGTTGCATTTTGGTTTCAAGTCAATTTGATATTTAGTTCATTTTATAAATTTTTTTTGTGTGAATTTGTTTAATAATTAAAAATAAATTGAAAATACGAGTGAAATTGTTAATTATACATTAAGCATATAAATTATAACAATTAAGTATGGTATGAATATTAGTGAGTTTAAAGATTTCATTACTTTATTTTAAATTTTTGTGCCACAAATAAATTTGAATATATGAACATAATATTGTATATATTTAATTTATTTTAAAATTTTACAATTAAATTATTAAAATAAATTATAATTTATTTGAACGTTTCAAGAAGAAATTGAAAGAAGTGTCATTAAATCAAAGATAGCTAACCATTAAAACAAAAGAAAGTGAATCAGAACTTGAACCATCCCAGTCCAACTAAACAAGCTGAAGCAAAATATGAACTGGCAGCCGAAAAAAAGAAATACAAAATTACAGCTCTTAAACTAATCCCTGAATCTCTCAGGTCCTCCAAACCAAAATGGAAAAATGAAGGCTTTAAAGGATGCGGGATACTGACTTAAATAATTCCAATTTTGTTTGCAACATCCAAAGCATCGTAATCGGGTGTCAACCTCACATATGCCTTCTTTGTGCCATCAGGCCTGGATCAAGAAAATGAAATGAACACAAGCATTCAGCAAGATATGAATAATTCCATTAGCAAACAAGGTAAGTTATACATATTAGAATAATGGTCTTCAGGTACTGCCATGAAATAATTTCTAGGCAATAGTTTCGATTTACGAAACCAGAATTCTCACTGCAAATGACATAATATGAGGTTAACAACACAAGCACTAATCATTTTCCAGATCAAGAATGTCGTCAGCAGGACTCCACTCAGAAAAATCTGAAACTATTTTTGCATAGAAATCTATCAGCATCCGTCAAAAATAGTTCATCTACATGGGTCTGATTAAGAAAGCAGTTATTTGAGGAGTATATGCCGTCCAACTAATTCCTTCATCATTATTTTTTTTTTCCACATATTCTGCTTCATAAATATTAGGCAGGTTGGTGTTTCAGAATATGTCTTGCTGATACCAAGCTGTAAATGGAAACTTCTCAGTTTTGTATGTGCTGTGTCATCACGAAACAAAGTAAATAAAATCTTGTAACGGTTCAGAAAACGAAGAACAGAATCTATTACCTGATCAAGGTATTCACTTTCTTGGTCTGAATATCATACATTTTCTTGACTGCAGCTTTTATTTTCTTCTTATCAGCACGAATGTCAACGATAAACACCAATGTGTTGTTGTCTTCAATTTTCTTCATAGCAGATTCAGTTGTCAGTGGGTATTTAAGAATCTGATAATGATCAAGCTTGTTTCGACCTGGAGCACTGATGCGAGGGTACTTAGGATTCCTGTCCTTCTTCAATGTCTTTGGCCGATGAAATGTGACAGACGTTCGGATCTTCTTTGCCTTCTTCTTAAAGGTAGGTCCTGATTTCACTACTTTGGCAGCCTTCATGGCCTGTGCCTTTGGGTCAGCCTTTTTGGAACTGTCACCTGCACGAGTACACCAACCAATACAATTAAGAAAAGGTATTCAATACACTATTAACATAATCAAAACAACATGCCAACAAAGGAACTTCTATCCTGGAAAGAAGGAAAGAAGAAAATATAGGAAATGACATCCGGTGACAAGCAAAAAGTCCGCTAATTAGCAAAATCCTTAACAGATAAAACAACACATAGGACATAATGATTTTACGTTCCCTAATTGATTATCTACAATTCGATGAGACAGGTACCAGACATACAGTACAGATGGATCAACTTCTGCCCGTAATTATTTGTAAATTGCATTAGCATGATCCTCAATGACCATATGGAAGCAGTATTACTCAAGTTTTTCACCATATTTATTACATCCCAATTATACCACCAGCAGAGTGGACTTACAAAATTGTTTGATTTAGGCAGATACTAAAAACAGCAAGTTTATACTGCTTAGGAAAAATTATAACCAATTAAACTAGAGTAATTTAAGCATATAAATCATCAACGAATCAAGAAAGGTATCTGGAAGGCATACTTCTGCTGATTCTATACAAGGATAGCAACATTAAGTTTCGTTTGGTAGCTAAGATATGGAAGGGAAGTAGAACATTCTTTCACCCAATAAAACATGCAAATCTCGCTACACTTAACAAAATTAAAATTGTTTCTATTCATTTTCTCTAAAACCAGACGAGCGAAAGGAAAAACGATCGGAACAAGAAGCGCATGAAAACTATAACAGACATGAAAAGAAGGTACCCCAATGCGGAGACGGAATACAATAAAATAAACAAGAAGCAAAAAAATAGCAATCAATAAAAATTAGTACCCTTAGGAGGAGGCATTTTCTATGGCAAAATTGGCGAAGCCCCTGACCCTTCTAACCAGCTGAAACCCTAATAAATCACAGGAAATATAGCTTGTTAGTTGCCAAAATCCTCCAACCGTACGCGAATAGACAGTGCCTACAGTTTCATGTGCGTGCAGGTAACATGTGGGGTTTTATATCTCTGTGAGAAGAGGCCGGTGTCTGTGAGACGTTTAGAGAGAGTAGGAGAAATACAGAATACCTGCAAAACACGAAGCGTGCGAGAGCAACCGTTCTAGGGTTTGAGGAAGACGAAATTGGGTTTATAAAAAAATACGGGATACGAAATTACCAATAACCAAATGGACTCGCGGGACTTATGGACTGGATCATCGGGCCGGGTCAAAATTTATTTTTAGACCCGATTATAAAGTTATTGGTATAACATAATTTTTTTGTTGTAGTAATTCTCATAATTTAAAATTTTAAAATAATTTAAAAATAACTGATATTTGGGGTTTAAATGCAGTCATATATAGTCTTGAAAATAGTTCAAAAAACTCTGTGGTATTTTGAAATTTAGAAGTGGCCTTAAAATCTAAAGTAACTCACAACACTATGAATATATCCAAATCCTAGAACTATACTTAGAAATTTTAGTTAATGTAAATTTACATATTACTATGATTTATATAGTATAATAATACTATATACACCCACATGATAATCATAAGAATATTAATAAAATGTCTGTTAATGTGATAATTTATATTAAAAATATAATAAATTGTTAAATGAATATTCAGAATTTGATATTTATTATAATTTAGTTCATAATATTTTTATTATAATTCAATCTATGTATAAATTTAAGTGAAAAATTCAATTTTTAAATAAATGAATAAGAATGCATTATAGCCCTGCCTCACCTCTTGCTGTATTACCAATCTGTCTGTTTTAGCCAGAAGACATATAATCCCCCAGTAATGAGTGAGCTTGGGACTCAACTATATATTATGATACAGGAATGAATAGCTTGCCTTTGACCCTTTTTACAGTTGCCAAACTCTCATTTACCCTTTTCAACTCCTTTTACTGAATCTTCTGTTTGTTCAAATTTTGGTCTGATAAGCCAAGCTCAAGCCAATGGATCTTCTATTTCAGTCCCATAGACATGACCCATTTTCGTTCGTTTGGTTTCCAAGTACCTTCTGTTTTCGTTGGTAATCGGTGTCAAGACTGGAACACGGCCAATGACTGCCAAGCCGTAGCCTTTCAGGCCGGTGAACTTTGCTGGGTTGTTGGTCATTAGGTGCATAGTTCTCACTCCGATGTCCCTTAAAATCTGCTTTTCGTAAGTGTGAAGAAGACATTAACCTTCATGTTCTGAATAGTATTTACTTACATGTTGCAGCATTACGAAAATCAATGAATGAATGGCATTCAGTTGAAGATCAATGAATGAATGCTTACACTGTATTATACATGGAAAAGAAGTGGTCAAACTAACCTGGGCACCGATGCCATATTCACGTGCATCAACAGCTAAGCCAAGTTCTATGTTGGCCTGGACAGTGTCATGGCCTTGATCCTGCAAATTATAGGCTCTAAGCTTGTGACCAAGGCCAATCCCTCTTCCCTCATGGCCACGAAGGTAAACGACAACTCCTCTGCCTGCTTTTTCAATCAACTGCATCGCTAAATCCAACTGGTTGCCACAATCACAGCGTGCAGAGCCAAAGATATCCCCAGTTAAACATTCTGAATGTACTCTCACCAGAACATCTTGTCCGTCGCCAATGTCTCCCTGTTGAGAATTGAGAGAAAACAGGTGCAGCTCAACACAACGTTAGGAGAATATTTTGTTTCAGGTTCTCAAAACAACAGAGGTAGAAACAAATCTTACCTTTACTACAGCAACATGCTCTGTTCCATCTAGCTTTGATCGATAGCAGTAAGCTTGGAATAGACCCCATTTTGTTGGCAAGCGTGATATGGCAGTTTTTTCAACCAGTTTTTCCCTCTTCCTCTGGTATCTGCAGACGAATTTGGCAGCAGGAGACTGTCAACGAACAGCCCAGAATTGGAAGCAAAAGATTTTCGTATAAGAAATGCTAACAAGAGATGGAGAATTTCAGCTTGTGGCACTTGAATAACAACTATCCGGGTCTCTAGCATACGAAAATGATGCTTATTGTACGATATGATAAACTAAGCAAATCAAAATAGTAAAGCAAAGAAAATTCTAAAAACTTAGATAATTTGGTCAAAGTATCCTACCCAAGGATAAATTTGGGTTCACTGTAAAGATTTTGAAAATTATTGTTCCCTCTTTTAAACCCTAATATCAATATAACTAAATCATACAGTAACATAAATCTGACAGCAAACTTGCACGTGCATTGTTGAAAAATCTTTCAATCTCCTGTATCAATAATAAGAAATGAATATTCCTAAAATATGGGATATAGGTAAGGGAATCTCATCAGAAATTTCTTTCGTTGTAATCAATTTTCTATTTTTCTCTCTTTGTAACAGCTATATAAACTATATATTCATTCTGAACATTCAAAAAATTCAATTTCTCTCTAAATTCTACATGTATATATATATAGCAAGTACAAGAAAAAACTCTTAAAATAAGTTGTAATGAATTATTAATATTTAATCTTGTAAAATTAAGGTACATTATTAGAATACTAATATGAATACGAGTTGCAAACTAACACAAGCAATTGGTTTCAATTGCAACGTTGACAATCTTCTTCCATGTTGTTGTTTGTTTTGTAAGAACACCCAACTGAAGAGCAATGGTATCTCTATGACACAGGCAAAACATCATTGCAGAACTCACCTGATTAAATCAGTTATTGACACAATTGGAATGCTGTGCTCCGAAGCTAACTTTCTCAAAGCAGGCAGAGAGGCCATGGAACCATCCTCTGGATCAACAACAGCTGAAAGAACTGAAACTGGCTGTAGACCAGCCAGCATCATCAGATCTACAGAAGCCTCAGTATGACCTGCCCTCCGTAGGACTCCTCCATTCCGGTACTTTAGTGGGAATACATGTCCAGGTCTTCTAAAATCCTCTGCCCTAGACCCTGGAGATGAAAGAGCAAGAACAGTCATTGCCCTATCTGAGGCTGATACTCCAGTAGATGTTCCAGTCTTTGCATCCTAATGAGGCAGCCAAATTTATCAGAACAACACGTTAAGCCTATCAAATGGTGTCAACAAAGTTTGTGATGCATTAATTTAGACTATGTTTAGTACAAATTCTAAAATTTAAACTTTTACTTTACTTTTAAGTCCATACTAAATTTAATTGGGAGATGATGAAGATATTTCCAAAAATGATAAAATAGAGTTTCCGATGCAATTTTTTAATATCAAATTTAAGTTTAGATCAATTTTAATCATTTTAGAGACTATCTTCACAATCTTTTAGTTAAACTAACTGGGGAATTTGTAAATAAATTTAACAAAAATTTTAGTTTTGTGTGCAAGTTTTGAAAATCGAAATCTTCAGAATTGTGGAACAATGGAAAAGATACCACTGTGATTGTAAAAGTTGGGGCGGACGAGTCCTCATATTCAGTTTCTGGTGACATCAAAGGAAGCTTTAGTCTTTGGAGATCTTCTTCTTTCATGCCTACAGAAACAATTCCCGATCCATGTTTAACCATGAATGCAACATCCTGAGCACTAGTTAGAGATGCTGCCATGATAAGGTTCCCTTCAACATCATCCCCGTTTTCATCATCTACAACAATCACAAACTGAACACATTTGGCCATGATGGTTAACATTCAATTCTTCATGCTTTGATAACTTCTCTAACTACACAACCACATAAATGTTTCATATAAAAATTAAGGAAGAAACTAAATCATATAGGTTACACAGAATCGGAGCTAGAAAAAAGGGTAGGTTGAATCTGATCAGTACTCTGTCGGGAAACTCCGTTAAGTAAATTTTGTATCATAAAAAAGATATTGTTGTGCTCCCGGGAAAAAAAGAGTGCTACTCTATTCAATAGATCAGGAACAATTGGAAAAGCCAGACCTACTCGGTGTCTCTTTGAATCCTGAATATGGTGATACCGATTGTACTAACCTACATATGTCTCTCCTCCATCAATCGGTACTACTTATTCTTATTTGGACTTTCTTTGTCCCGATGAGAAATGAGAAACAAAAGAAGGATCCTTCCGCTGAGAATTAGATCCTACTCTTTGTCTCTCTTCTTCACAGAAAATGGAGAGCTGAATTAATCGATTCATCGAGACATATGCCATGTTTAAAATAAATTTAAAATTCGCGAGAAATTTATCTGTAAATTCACAGTTAATTTTAACTATAGGATGATAAATCTCCTACATTAGATAGAATAAAGTGGAGCTCATGCAGAAATTTATATGGAAGTAGAATATTGCTTCTAAATTTTATAAAAACTAATGGAATTTATAATGCATTCCTCCAATTTCACATGGAATTTCATATAATTCAATTTTCGATCTGTATTTCTCATAAATTTTTCTTAAAAAGCATGAATCTGCAAATACCTTCTACAGCAAAATTTACATCATATTACCTATCATTACCTATCATAATTTGCACTCCTCTGAAATCCTAGTCTTGATACACCCAAATCTCACAAAAGCCATAATCACAGTTCCAAAAAAAAAAAAAAACAAATGCACATGCATACTCACATATAAACATACGTACGTACATACATACATACATATATATAAGCTCCAAAGGAAAAGATCTCAAAATAAGCTGCACCACGATATTCCATTCACTCACTCCACTGCATGAGTCTAGACGCAAGTGTAATTTTAAGCCAAATGAATACTTATTCTTACATGTCACTCAAATTTTCAAGCAAAACAACACAATATTTACACTAACATGTTAGGTCGCAATCATGAAATGTAATCAACTGTGTAAATTAAAATAACAACCAAATTAATTCACATGGACTAATAGTAATACTCAGTCAATCATGAACAACCAAATAAAATAATAGCAAGCAAAGAAACACTCGCAAGAGAAAATGAACACAAGATTTTACGTCAAAAACTTTTAAACAAAAAGAGAAAAATCATAGGTTAAACTCCAAGTTAAATCCACTATATCTGGAAACAACATACCAAACTCCTTCGCAGGCAACTTTTTTTTTTTTTGTTTTTGCTTTTTACGAATAAATTAAATGAGAAATAGGTTCAAACCTTTGCTTGGCGCAGTGTATTAAGTGCTTGCTCAATTGAAGAGTAACCTTCAGTAGGGCAGTCAGGATCACCCTCTGCATCACTAACAAAGAAATCAATAGTCTCTGGTGTAATTTCAGCATCAACTGTTCCAAACGGAGCTGAACCTGACTCGGCAATGGCACCCAACAGCGACCCATTTTCATTTCCTCCCACAGGACTATCATCAAACAGGTTACCTTCACCAATCCCAACTGCCCAACATGTGGAACTCAACCATCTCTGCCGATAAATCCCAAGCTCCAGACTCTGAGGAGCCGCAAAAAGCCTGTGAAAACTGCAAAACAATCATCATAAGAAAACACAGCAGGCGAAACACCATGGAAGTCTTCGGAGAAGAAGCTTGTTTAGTAGTTACCTTGAGCTAATGAAAATGCGAGGAAATAAAGGGTGAGGAGATAAAGCAATATCCATAATTAAGCAGAATTTTCAGATATCAACAGCTTCTTCTTTTTCTTTTTCTGCGGGTGAAAATTTCTTTTTCTTGGTGTTTTTGGATTTTTTGCAGTTTGTGTAATGTGTGTGTGTATGACATATGAGTGTGTGTAAAGGTTAACCTGTGAAAGAAGAAAACCCCACCACTGGTTATGGATGTGGAAGAAGCAATATGCAGTCCTTATCTGCAAAACCCTCGTTTTCACTTGCTGCAACTTTATGATTTTCTCAGCCACATGCTATAAATCACCATTTTTTTTAACTGGGTAAATTGGTGGGAAGAGCTGAGATTGAAAGCCAAATTTTAGTGAAATACTTCCAAGAAAACTAAAATAGTAGTCATAACAATTCAACTGAGTTATATACACAGCTATATTTTGTTAATACAACATGATAAAATTAGCAAGCAAATCTAGACATAAAAGTAGACAGAGACACTAAGTTCACCTGTTTATGATCTCAGTTAGAACCCAATGTAATAATATATTTTTGTTTTCTTCAATTCATGAAGTTCTATATTTTAGAACAAGGGAATATAACTTTTGTTTACATACACCTGTATAAGGCAACCTATTTATATCTAATGAATTCATCTCTATAGCTTCAGTTTTTGTTTTACAATATATATTTTATTAAATGTATTTTTTCTCTATGCAATGTATTGTGATTCCGGGTGTCACTTTGTTCTTTTGAGAGACTTAAAATTGTTTTTTATTCCAAAGTTTTGTAGTCTTAGATTCTAATGTCTTCTTAAAAATATCAACCATTCGATTCGGGAAAGTAGTTTGTTTGACCAAGAATCAACGGTCAATATTCTTACGTGACTGCCGCGCGCAAACTTTTTCAACAGGTAGTGGGACCGACAGCACACATGGGACGGATGACGTGGCATACCCGTTTAAACCCCCTCCCGGCTCATTAAAACGGAAAACCCCTTAAAAAAAAATTGGTCTGAATACGTGGAGAGGGAGGGGGATGCGAGAAGTCGCCGGCAAAGATAGGTCGGGTGATATTTACAGAGTGAAATACTGACGGAGAGAAAGAGACTGATAAATAGCATCGATGGCATATTGCTGGTCAGTTTAGTCTTTGCTGCTCCATAGCTCATTCTCTATCCGATCGCCACGTGTCTTTCTGATCCCGGTTCGTCGGGTCCGAGCCGAAATCAGCGGCACCGACCTCATTTCTCCGGAGATCCTTCCGGTTTTAGTCTCTACGTTTCAGCTGCACGACGCTCGGTAAATCTGCATACCTTTGGTTTATACTGATACTGAAAGTGATAGATGTACTTGCATGAACTCATGATCTTCGTAATCTTAGTTGTTGGTTTTTAATTCGGTTGTTGATGGTGTTTTGTGTAGTAAAGATAAAGAGGAAGTGATTGAGAGTTAGACGGAGCGTTTTTGCGTCGTGGATGGGCCATGGCCGAGTCCTTGACGATAAGTGGTGTGGTGAAGGAGAACAAAGTATGGAAAGGGGTTTTTGCAGTGAGTGGGATCATGACCACTCTCGTGATTTATGGCGTTTTACAGGTAATGCACTCTGTCATTTCTCTTGGTCGCGTTGATTTACGGTGTTAATGGTGTTCTTTTTTGCATTTCCTTCGCTGTGAAATGCAGTTCACTGGAATGCCCATTTTGTCTCCTGATTTGCTTCCTAGTGTCATTTAATTAATTTAATATATGGGTTTTATGTCAATATTCTTTTGACATGCAGGAATTCTAATTGAAATGGACCCTTAATATAGTTAATTAATGGTGGGGGGGGGAGGGGGGGGGGGGAATCAATCTTGTAAATTTAAATGAAGGAAATTTTTTGATTGAAGGTGCTCTTTTTGTGGAAAGAGATAATTTTTTTAATAAAAAAAGCATGAATGTTTAAAAAAAGTTATAATTTGGTTAAGGAGCTGGTAATATTTGTCCGCTTGTTCTGATCGTTTCTCAATTTTTGATATTTTATGAAAGCTTTGATTTCGGTTTCTTATTTTGTTTTGTTTTTCTGATTCATTTTTGTTTGGCTTCTATCGCGCAAATGAACCCATGAGAAATTATTTTGGCTAATGCCAAAGTGGTAGACCCTTAGGAAAGGGGAAGAAGAACACGATAGTTTAGGTGGAAAAATGGAGGTAGGGCTCCTTTTTCTTTACTCTGAAGGTCCTATGTTCTATGCATGCATCTACACACACAATTGAGATAAATATAAGTGTGACAGAAAATCTGTTGATGTTACCATGTACCTATAACTCAATTCAGAAGCTCCCAAACCCTTCTATCTGAACCTTTTTGTTGCTTTTTTTTGGTTTTCTCTCAATTTATTCAGTTAATCTGTGAATAGTTCACTCTTCTCTTGGGGTTTGATTAAGCTTTCTTTGCTGGATGCAGGAAAAGATCATGAGAATCCCATATGGGTTGAACAAAGAATATTTTAAATACTCCTTGTTTCTTGTTTTCTGCAATCGTCTCACAACATCTTCCGTTTCTGCTATTGCATTGTTGGTAGGGGCTATCCTTGGCTATTCTCTTTTTGTTTTCTTTTCTATTTTCAAATGCAGGAGGCATTAAGGGAGACTAAAACTAAGTTCATGGTCAAGAAAATTGAAAAGGACATTCTATATTTTAGCTGGATATAAACTGCAACTTCCTCATGAGAAAGAGAGGAGTAAACATCATTGTCCTTGATAGCAGAATGGGCAGACTGATTGTTGTTCTTCAGAATTTTCATATTTCCATGTTTTTCCTAGGCAAGTAAGAAAGCGTTGGATCCTGTAGCTCCTGTTTACAAGTACTGCCTTATATCAGTATCAAATATCCTAACCACAACTTGCCAGTATGAGGTACTCTTTCTTCAGCATTCTTTGTTATGATAATGATTGTGTTTTCTTCTGGAACTACAACTTGCTCATTTCATTTGTATTTAACATAAGCATTCTGAATAACTTGAAAAATGCATATATCTGTTGTTTTTCCACTTTTGTGACCACCACATGCTTGATTCAGGCCCTCAAGTATGTTAGCTTCCCAATTCAGACTCTGGCGAAGTGTGCCAAAATGATACCTGTCATGGTAAGTTAATATGTAGAGCTAGGACATATATTATGTGTCTTTGATGTGCATGGATGGGGTGTGAGTGTTGTTTTTCTGCATGAACAAAATGTGGCTGTCATGTTCATGATCACAAGAAGTAAGAAAATTGCTGCTAAAACCTTAATTACCTTCTAATGAACCATCTGTTTTTAATTTTAGTTTTCTGGTTGAAGGATGTGTCAAAACTGAAGCATTTCCTATCTTTATCTTAAGCTTTTTTATGATAAATGATCTTTGTAGAGTCTGTCTTGAAAATTTCATTAAGTAATGGCTTCTTTTAAACTTATCCTTTAAGCTGCCCTTGTATTTTCTTGAAGAAGCTAATTTGATGGAGAGTGGTAAAAGATCATTCTTGTGGCTTCTGGATTTTATCATTCACTGAAATTGACTGCAAACCTCCTCTAATTTTCTTAATACTTGATTTGTTTTTGTCACACTTTTTCTTTGGTGGGATTGTAAGAGATGGGAACCCTTACCTTGCCCACATAAGTGGGCAGAACTAATCACTGGCATTTTGTGATTCATATCATACTTCTTATAACATTTGTATGTGGCAAATTAACTGAACTAACTCCTCTTTTTCTATACAGATATGGGGCACCATCATTATGCAAAAAAGATACAAGGGATTTGACTATTTGTTGGCCTTTTTGGTGACCCTTGGTTGTTCAATATTTATTCTTTTTCCGGTAATAACTCGCTCTCACTACAGTTATTTTGTCTGATTTCACTACTCCTTTCAGACTTGGGTGAGTGATTCTTAGATGTGCTTGTACTTTTTCATGCATATGAGGTAAATTTTCATAATATTTTTCTTAAATTTTGTTTTACAAAAGAGCCAACTAGCACAACAATGAGCTACATCAAGGTTTGAGCTTATTTGGATTGTCGAATTCGAATCTGTATAAGGCATTGAAAATACTTGTATGCTTGCCTTTTTTGAATTTTTCTGAAGGCCTTCAATTTTCAAAACTGTTATTGTAAACCTACTTACCCAGGCTGTAGTTAGACACTAGATTGGGTGCATCTGAAGGCTCTGGCTAGCTTAATGGTCATCCAAAACCCAGAATAATGTGCTACATCACAGTATCATCATGGAATTTCTCCTCTCCAATGAGTCTCCCTTTCTTTTCTTTTTTCCTTTCTACTCCATGGAGCAGGAGATTAGGTGTTAGATGCGAGCAAGTCAGTTTACTTTTGTATTCATTCCCATAGATCTGCTTGACTGTGCATTGAGAGAGCAATTTAGCTTTATTATTATTATTATTATTATTCTTTTTTTTAATGTAACAATTTAGCTTTATTATGCATGCTAGATAGGGTTGTTTGATTTTTTTGATTCTTCTGGTATATCAGCTGACGATTTCTGAATGAACTAGTTCTGTTTTGTTTTTAACTGTAGGCAGGAACTGACATCAGTCCATACAATAAGGGAAGGGAAAACACTGTATGGGGTGTTTCCCTGATGGTCGGTTATCTGGGGTATAATAACTCTCTCTTATCTTGAGGATCCTTATTTTATGGTTATTGTGTTTTTTGTTTTTCGAACATTTCTTCCAGTAATCATGAACACAAAATATTAGACGACTAAAGAGACTTTGATATAGTGATGTTATGAGGATGTCAAGGGGGTGTTAGCTCTGCGGAAGAACAGATTATAAGCACCGTAATTGGTTCTATTTGTTTAATAATCTCATATGTCAGTTGTTTATTAGCTACTTATTAATAACTTTAAATAGGCAATGATAAGTATACTTCCCCAACTTTATTGTATACTGACTTAAAATGCTTAAACTCATTTGTTTGTCCTCATATTTTTTTTAAAGCAAAAATACAGCATTTGTTAATTTTTTTCCTCAGTGAACATCTTTGCTGAAACATATTACTGCTTATTTTCTATATCAGCACCTAGGAGTTTCAGGTTATGCTTAGAGCTTTAAGTACTTTTTCTGAGTAACCCAGGCACCCTCTAAATTTATAATGCTTATTTGTTCAAAGGTTTGACGGCTTTACCAGCACATTTCAAGACAAACTATTTAAAGGGTATAATATGGAAATACACAATCAAATATTCTACACAACTTTGTGTTCGTGTGTTCTCAGCTTTGCAGGTAAATGTTCTATTCTTTCTAAATTTTGATTGTTTTAAATATATTTGTTTGGATTTTCTTTTTTGGATGGTTTTGGGGAGGGACAGTTTTGAATGACTTTGATGACCATTATGTATTCTATTAATTCCATATATTTCTTTATTATTTTTATTGATGCCAATTCGTAATTTTGCTGATGATCAGAATTTGCAGCTTGGAATTGTTTCCAACCTCTCTTTCCAACTTAGCATGCAAAATTTCTGTACCTAACATATTTAGAAAGAAGTCAGTCTCCTTTATAACTTGCTGTTAACTTGAGTCTGTGTAAGAGGTAAACATCTTACTAGTTGGTTTTTAGATAATTACCAGTGCAGTAACTAAGTGATTCTTCAAAATCTAATGCCAAAGAATAAGGGGGGAGGTAGTGAAGTGTCGAAATGACTACTGAAGATACCAAATCAGTTTGAATCTTTGATACCAGAATGTTGCTAGAATGAAACTCAGTGTTTACCCTTTTTGTCTTTGTACCTCTCCCATTGTTCACCTAAGAAGTCTTAGCATGAAACATCATAAGTCAGAAAGAATTTATATTCACAAGGATGATTGTTTTGATTTTTGTTTGATGGAGATTGATTTCTCGTAAGAGCACTCTTGATTAATATTTAGTGTACTCACTTTAGCGAAAGAAAGGTGTGTCCGTTCAGTATAAATGAGGAAGATGTCATTTGCAGAACTGATGGTTTGCTAAACATAGATATCTTAACCTATGTCTACTTTCTGTCAATATTTTTTTGAAATGTCCGTTCTTTATTTTCTTCAGCGCACTTCCACTCTCCTATTTACAAATTAGATTTCTTGTGTTTTGGTTATTATATGAATAAAAGGAAAGTTAATTAATTGAAAGATATTTACTGGTTTTGTTGACTTTCTTCTTCTGTTTAGGCCTTATATTACAGGGACATTTACTACTGGCTGTAGATTTTGTTTATCACCATAAGGATTGTTTCTTCGACATTGCATTACTTTCCACTGTAAGGTTTTCCTTGTTCTATTTTAATCTTTGAATATCTTGTGTTGATGTATGGTTCCACTTGTTTAAGCTTTACATCAAATCTACTTACAGTTATATTCCAATTCTCTGACCCCTCTTGTTATGACCTGCACTGAAGGATGAGCCCTGGAAATTAGAATTTATGAAGGATAGTTTATTGCAGGTAGCAACAGCTAGTCAATTCTTCATTTCTTACACAATTCGCACATTTGGCGCTCTCACATTCGCCGCCATTATGACCACAAGACAGGTAAAACAATTTCTTTTCTCTCTTAATAATAATAAGAATGCTGGATTTGGTTCAATTCTTAGTCTTAAATTTCTTGTTAGTCTTAATATACATAATTGCAACATATAATAAATAGTATTTGTGTTGCCACCACTGCCATTAAGAGTCATTGATTGTAAAATTTCAATTCCTACCTTGAGAATTGGAAATTGTATGTCTATGAATTTAAGTTAGAACCTTGGTGCCTCAAAAACAATAAATTAATTCCTATTTTTCAATATTAAGCCTAACATAATTCGAAATAGGAATTAACTAGGAGTTGGATGAGAATTGAACCAAATGCAACAGACTGTTGAAGTAGGAATCTTTGTAATAATCTTTTTTTTTATGCCCTCTCCAACCATCTACACTAACTATGCCTTCTAAAACTCTCTTCTTTGTTTAAGTTGGTGAGCATCATGCTATCATGTGTGTGGTTTTCCCACCCTCTCAGCTGGGAACAGTGGATTGGTGCAGTAAGTTTCGAACATATTCTTGTTTTAGTAGTCAGTGGTTCGACTCAACTTTTGTAGCTGACAATGCAGCATTTGATTTATTAATCAGGTCGTCGTCTTTGGCTCACTGTATGCAAAAAATCTCATGCGTAATAGATCAGAAAAGGTCCCACAACCAGCAGAAGAGTCACAACAAGATGAAGCTTCTATTCCTTTGAAGGAGAACCCTTAACCGGAGACCTTTCTGGCAACCAACATACGTTGCATTTGTTGAACTTGCATACATATTATGATGATTAAGACACAGCTTTAACATAACTACATTGCTAAGTTTGTGATTACAAACTCAATCCACTTACAGAAGCAAGTGGTCTCTACCAGCAGTGAGTTGATAGCATAGAGTTGAAAAGCTTTTTTTTTTTTTTTCAAAAAAAAAAATTAAACTATCTAGTTTGTCTAAGAACCTAAACTGTAATTTAACCAACATAGTTGCTCTTCTTTTTTGTTCTCTTTCATTTCCGATCTTTGATTAATATTTTCCTTCAATGAACATAACGAGGAATTGATGGAGGAATTGATGTTATTAGCATGACGACTACTTATGAGCATTATCATTGGAATTGTTTAAGAGTTTGTTTAAATAATGATTCAATAATGATAATATAATTTTTTTTATTTATTTGTACTTTTAAATATGGAGCATGGTTTTTTGTTGTTGAGTTATGATTTTTAAAATTATAATTTTTTTAAAATTTTTAAGTTATTGATTCTTTCAAATTATTGAATCGGTGGTTTTAAGATGGTTTTATTATATTTTTTATTGTTTATAAAATTATTTTTTATTTTATTATATATATATTTATTTAATTATATATTTTTTTATATATAAATATATATTTATATATTCAATTAAATTTATATACTTATATATATGTATGTAATATACTTAATTATATTGATTTTTTTGTGTATATATATATATATATTTGTATATTTAATTATATATTTTTATATTTAACATTATATATTTTTATAATTTTTTATTTTATTACTATATACAATAAAATATAAACAAAACAAACAATTTATTCAAATATATAATCATACCATACTGTCAATGCAAACAAAAATATCTATCATTATTATATATTAATAAACTATCATCCAAATATAGTTAAAATTTAATATTAATGAAACTTGTACGTATTATACTATATTTAACATTAATAAATCATCATATAAGTCATTCAATCAAACTCTAAGTAATCGGTCATGTTTATTACTGTGGTTCTCTAACCAAATAAAAAAATGAGAATGACACCATTAAGGTAATTACTAAATTCATATAATTTATGGTTTATGATTTATATTGTTCTTTAGCCAACTAGAAAAATGTAAAAGACGCATATGTGATTCTATTTGAAAAGTTAAAGACTAAAAATATTTTTAGATATTAGATGAATTCGATTTTATACGTACACGAGGAATATAATAAAAATAAATAAATAAGATGAGTTTTTAATTTTTATCATTTAAGAGCTGAAATGAAAGTCTCATGTAAAGTTTTGAATAAGAAAAAAGTGAATAATCATCTTTTCGACTCTAGCTATCTCACTCTATTTATTGCTTGAATTACCATATAAGAAATGAAAATCAGTATGTTGTCAGATTGATCATATATTCAATTTTGGAGGCTGTATTTGCAAATGTTGTGGAAAAACATGAAATTATTTATTAAAAAAAAGTTAAATATGCTAGATAAATATTAAAATATAAAAAAAAAAAATTTTTAGAAAATATTATACTAATCCAAATATCTTAATATAAAACTAAATGTTATATAAAATTAATTCCATCGTACAATGAACTTTATTATCTTATTTAAATTTACTAACAAATAAATAACATAATATTTTGAAATAATTAATAAAATAACTATTCTTTTAAAGGTTTTGAGATGCTTTCTCTTCCTTCTATATTGTGGCCTGCGTAGTTTAGCAAATCAAGTGGCTGTAGTTTAGTGGTTAGAATTCTACGTTGTGGCCGTAGAGACCTGGGCTCGAATCCCAGCAGCCACACTTTTAGAAATACTTTTTAAGTAGTTACATTATCTTAAAACAAAAATTATCATATCAAATTGGGTTAAAGTAAAATCTTTTTTCTGCCCACAAAATCAAATCAAGCCCTCCAGTAAATATTCCATAAAACAAAGGTAATTATTATTCCTTAATTGAATTTATCACGTGGCATTTTTTGGTCGCGCCACGTGATGCCAAAATGCGATGGGACGTGGTGGAGAATCAAAAGTACTAGAGGGTAACTGTTCAGTGGGTCCGCACCCAGCACGTCATCATGTAGTCCTCAAATCAGAATTCGACACCTCATATCTACAAAGCAATACGCGGCCCCACAAAGCGAAACTATATAACCACTCACCGTTAAACTCCACTTACTAATTTCTTCTTATCCCAAATCGATTTTCTCCTAAGCATTATCCCCATTAATCTTCTTTCCTAATCACGCTGAAAAAACCTTTCAGAGAATCTCCCGCTTTCTGGTACTTATCTCTACAGATTTCAATTCCTTTTTCAGATTTTTCTCTCCCATTCCTGTATTATATATTCATCCCCCTCTCCCTACTCTTGTATACTTGCATATAACCTCATAAGTACGCTTGCATTTACTACTCGTAAGAAAAATGGAGATCGATCTTTCACCCAAGTTGGCCAAGCAGGTGTACGGTGGCGATGGTGGTAGTTACCACGCTTGGTGCCCGGATGAGCTCCCTATGTTGCGCGAAGGGAATATCGGTGCCGCCAAACTTGCTCTTGAAAAGAATGGATTTGCTCTTCCTCGGTACTCTGATTCTTCAAAGGTCGCTTATGTTCTTCAAGGTGAAGATTTAACGATTCCTTTTTTTTTTTTTTCCAAATGTTATTTTCTAGATTTGTTTTGATCTTCTAAGTCCCTTTGTTTGATCCGTTTTACTTGTTTTTTGGTAGATCGAGTATATCCTGTTTCTGTAGAATTTGATGTTCGTTTATTTCTGGTTTATTACTTGTAATTGTAGCCTGTATGAGATATTCGTTGGATATACATACACATATTCGCTGGATATACAGACTCATATGTGTTTATATGTATTTGTTATTATGTAGTATATGTCAACTTGAAAGGAGTAGGTGGAGTTACTGAATTTTTTCGAATAGGAAATAGAGATCACGTTTTGGACATGGAGGAACAAATTGCAGTTTTTTTTTTTCATTAAATTATTTTAAGAGCATTTTGTGCCTTTTTCTTAAGTTTTTCTTTTTTCTTCTTCCATGTGAATTAATGACCTGCAGGGATGCGATTCTTTTTTCCTTTTGATACGATTGACTTTGTTTTGGGAAAAACCAGAAGTGATCCTTAGAGCACTTTAGTTGTATCAGGGGAAATTCATGGCAATTATCCTTATAGTGTATATAGTTAAGGGTTGAGACTTGAATATTTTGGACTTAACTTGCTAGTCACCTGTGATTTGGTGCCCTGGATTATTGGATCTAAATTTCAATTGTTTTGCTATTGTTCTTCAGAACTTGATCTGGAGATTAAGAATTTTAACTGTAACTTTTTCTGTTGTATAAAAGGAAGTGGTGTGGCTGGCATAATCCTCCCTGAAAAAGAGGAAAAAGTCCTTGCAATCAAGAAGGGTGATGCCATTGCTCTTCCTTTTGGAGTTGTAACATGGTGGTATAACAAAGAGAGCACTGAATTGGTAATCCTGTTCTTGGGTGACACCTCAAAAGCCCACAAATCCGGCCAGTTCACCGATTTCTTCTTGACTGGCTCAAATGGTATTTTCACTGGTTTTTCAACTGAGTTTGTCTGCAGGGCATGGGACTTGGAAGAAAATGTTGTTAAGTCCCTTGTTGGAAGCCAAACAGGCAAAGGTATTGTGAAGCTTGATGCAGGCTTCAAAATGCCTGAGCCAAAGGTGGAGCACAGAGAGGGCATGGCATTGAATTGTCTGGAAGCTCCTCTTGATGTTGACATAAAAAATGGTGGCTGTGTTGTTGTTTTGAATACTAAGAACCTTCCTTTGGTCGGTGAGGTTGGCCTTGGAGCCGATCTTGTAAGGTTGAATGGCAGTGCCATGTGTTCTCCTGGTTTCTCTTGTGACTCAGCCTTGCAGGTAACTTACATTGTGAGAGGCAGTGGCCGTGTCCAGGTCGTTGGTGTTGATGGGAAGAGGGTCTTGGAAGTCCATGTCAAGGCTGGTAACTTGTTTATCGTGCCTAGATTTTTCGTTGTTTCCAAGATTGCTGATCCTGATGGAATGGAATGGTTCTCCATCATCACCACTCCAAAGTAAGCTGCAAACAATTTCTTATCTTACTATATCTACTGAAACTGACCAGGTTGTAAATTACAATACACTCCAGTGGTCCCTGCCATCTGGGTCATTTAGTTTTGCATCATTTCATTTCCATAATCAGGAGAAAGTCATCTACTTTTTTGCAATTACCCAGTACGAATATGAGCACAATTTAATAATTTGGTCTCTGAACTTTTCTACCCATAACAGTCTTTGAGTTACTTGCTTATGATCAGGAGATGGTCATCACGAAAAATGAGCAAAATCTAATCATTTGGTCTCTGGATTTTTCTACCAATAACAGTTTTTAAGTTACTTGCTTATGATTTGTTGTTGCAGCCCCATATTTACTCATTTGGCTGGGAGCATATCTGCTTGGAAGGCTTTGTCCCCGGAAGTGCTGCAGGCATCATTCAAAGTGTCGCAGGAGATCGAAAAGGCTTTCAGCTCAAAGAGGACTGCCGATGCCATCTTCTTCCCTCCACCAAACTAAAGGGAAGGATGAATATAGCTATAATTACCTTTAAGTCTGCACTGCATGCCTCATCATTTCAAATAAAATCTGTGAAGAATGGACATTGATCGTGTGTATTTGCTCCTTCAAATATTCAAGGAATTTCATTTTACTCTCTGCATTTTGTCTTAATTAGATCATTCTTTTACTTAATTTTCTTGCGACTGCATTAATCACATTTTAATTTTTATCATTAATCATTGAGTTCAACTAATCCCATTGATTAGTGTATAAAATACCAGCTACAAAGTACTAATAATATATCACTTAATATTATTTAATGATTAATATTTTTATATTTTAATTTTAAATTTTATTAAAAATATAAAATTTATTATGTATTATAAAATAATTTATAATATTTAATTTAATAAATTTAAAGAAATTACAAGACATTACCTTTTTTCTTGGTAAAGAAAAAACCATAACAACAGTAAATAATTCAGTTTTATGGTTCAAAATCATAATGCTGATGTTGCTATGTGCCAAATTATAATTTGAGAACCATCACGTTATTTGGAAATCACAAAATTCCCACATCATCTGATTTAAAATAAAAATTCGAACTTTTATTTATAATAAAATTAATATATTATTATATTAAAATCATTATTTTTATGAAACTTTATTATAGACAGACAGTACATATTATTAACTAAATCTACATTTTCTTTACGTTGGTAAAAAAATAAAAATTTAAGAAAGACTAAAATATTTTGTTTTAGGCTAATATATTTACATATGTACATGTAAAGAATTACTTTAAGTTAAATTTAAAAATACATATCTTTTATTGAAATAGAAATAAATGAAGGAGAAAAAAGATAATTAGTTGGAATAATTAATAAGATTCACCCTGAGTCTTGTGTTTTAAAAATTTATAGAAATTATTAAAAAAATTAAATTTATATTTTTAATAATTTACAGCATCGATAATTGATCCCACAATCAAAAATCTCTGGGATCGAAACGTTTCGGTTCTCTTAAACAAAACGTTTCTCTATAATATATATGTATATATATCTCTCTATATATATATACGTAGAGAGAGAGAAGCTGCGAGGGAGACGGTGAGTTAATGGCGCCATTGAAACATCTGGAAGGAGAGTATCCGATAATAGACGCTGATTTCCAAAACTTCTGCGCCTCTCGCGGGATTTTCTCAGGTTAGAATTTTTGTCCTCCATTTTTCTAAGATAAAGATTTGAATAACACATTGCGGTGAGAAACGGCTTCTTCGATTGACTGTTCTAGTTTATCGAATTTCGAATAATGAGAAACTGAGGTTCCCAAATTGGTTTAGTTGACTATAACCTCAATAGCCGTCATTAGCAGTTTAATTAAGTTGCGCTGTTTGGCAGCTGAGAAAGCTAACGAGAGAATGAGGAAACCATAAGCAGACATCCGAAATTCGAGTTTTCTCGTCTGTCCTTATTTTTAATATTATTTCTTAAGATACTCCAAGTAAGAAAACTTTGTAACATAGATAGAACTTGAAATATATCTCGTTTCCCGAATAACAAAACATGCCTACCACTTGTGCATTTTAATTAGAAAGAAATGCTTTTGGCTTTGGGATTTTGTTCTTGGATAATATGTTTGTTCTACTCATTTGTTTTTTGGTGGCCGTCTGTGTAGTTGAGGATTTTTTAGTTCAAGACCTGGATGTATTAGCTGCATTTGCAGATCAACATACCGCTTCTGAGAGATTGAAGGAGGTTGGCTTTGGGGTCTTCCTAGTTTATTCTAAGTTAAATTCTAGCCGTGTCCTGACCTTTATTGGAGTTTTTGACGTGTCTGTTTGTTGGCATTCAGGGGATTATGCAAATCCTTTCTGTTATAGATGGCATGCATCAGCCATGGTTGAATGGTATGGAGTTGTTGGAGGATGCTCAACACAACAAACATGTATTATCGACTGGATGTGAAGGGTAACTTGTGTGCCAATCATTTTCCTATTCTCTTATGTCTTTCTCGTAGAGCATAGAACGTCATTTTCGTATTCCACTCTTGCATTTGGACATCTGTTAGCCCGATAATGTTTACTTATTTGTCTTGTCATCAGAATTGATTTGTTTCTTGAAGGTGGACTCCGTGAGGGACAGGTAACAGAATTAGTGGGACCATCGTCATCTGGTAAAACACAAGTAAGAACTCCCTTCATCTGTTGTAGGAATTTATGATGGGCCAGTAGTGGATAGTTCAAAGGCACTAGGATACCTGCTACTGCTGAAGATTCAGACATATTCTTGTCATCCCAGTAAAAATGCTGCTGAATCCTGTAGGACTCTTTTCAGTATGTTAAATGTAAGCCTGCAAGAGGATTAGAAAATTTGGTCCGAGGACTTCTGTCATGGTCTGCCGACATGACAGATCATGTAGATTGTTGTAAATCTAACTGTTTTGTATAGAAGTTTCATAGCCATACCATCATGCCTTTATGTGCCTATCTATTCTGTTGATGCATATTTTTATACTTAAATGAGTACTTCATTATGTTCAGGTTTGTCTGCATGCTGCTGCTAGTGTTGCAAAGGAGAATGTGGGTCATGTTCTGTATCTAGATACAGGCATCACGTTTACTCCACGTCTAAAACAACATATTATTGATCTGACGTATGGCTCTACAGATAAAGATATGTAGCTCTTTTCATATTTTCTGATATGACGGGATCATCTTTTCTATATAATTGGTGCTCACTTGTTGTCTCTTATATCATTAATTTAAACATTTCAAACAAGCAACACACATAGTTC